CCTAAAAGCTTGGCCAAACACTTCAAATTTGAAAAAAAACTTGGAGAAGCTTGGCCAAACAGGCTATAAGTCTATCTATTTCTTGCTTTGCTTTAGGAGCTCGTAGGTCTCAAGAGCAGAGGTGGATCCAGAATTTAAATCTTATGGGTTCAACCTTTAAGATTTTTAGCATTGTACTCATTATATTTTTAAGACTATGGGTTCAAATCTACTATTTGTTGTAATTTTAATAGATTTTACATACAAATTTATGGTCCGAATCGAAAATTATTAATTCAATTGAACCCGCACCTATACGCTACATAGGCCCTGCTAAAGGGTAGCTTTAGGCATAGAGCGGAGCGAGTCTGGTTTGAAGGATTAGAGTCCAAGCAACATTGAGCCTCAAATAGAGTTTCTATTCAAATCCTACTCAACACTGTATGCGCCATAATTAAGTAGAATATGAAGCGGGTTGCTTGTCGATTGAATCAACTCCAAACTCGGCTATTAAAAATCTTAGCCTAAACTTCATGACAAAAATCAGAAACTAACATATGACCATCCTATAATGAAAGCAATCACACTTCTTCAAACCTTACCACCCCAATAAATTCTACACAAATATCAAGCACAAATTCCATTTTTGAAACCTTTATAAATGATTTAATCATCAATGAGCATAGATACACACAAGTTATAAGAAAGAAAACAAACATACTAATAGCCGAAGCTTTATTTATTGCCCTATTCCCTTTCCGGACCAAAGTCACTAATAACCGAAGCCTAAACATACTAATTTTTATCCGTGCTTGAATTTTTTCCCGCTCATCTCACTTTTCACTCCATCTTTCACACTCCACTTTCACTNCCCCCCCCCCCTCCCACTCATTTCTACTCACTCACGTTTCTTTACCATGGGAATCAGCTGGAAACTCCAGCTAAAGAGGCAACAAAACAACCTCAACATTCACCCACAAAACTCCCTCAAAAAATAGCTCAAATAGGAGAAGAAAAAGAATAGATCATCTCTCCCTTTTTACACAAAAAAAACCCTAGCCGCCACCCAGTCCTTCTTCACTCCCTCCAATCCGCCTACACTCCTCACACTCGCGTCTCACAACTCACTCATATAGACACACACTCTAACACACTTAGCCATCGTCCTTTACACTATAAGAAAACACAACTTAAGAGAGAAAGAGAGAGCTGTTGGAGCTGGAAAATACTAAATATTTTTTCCAGAAAGTTTCCTTTTAAGGTCTTGTTGGTTTGGAGGAAGTTGTATAGAAACAACTTCTATATTTGTCTTTGGTTTCAAGTTTCTGTTTGGTACGAGTTTGCTGCTGTCCGCTCCAAATCGCTGCTATTTGTTTGCTGTAATTTTCGACACTCTTATTGCGCTTATTGGATAGTGGATAACAAAGTTCATCCATGTTGCCTCCTTTGATGTTTCTGCAGTCTAGGTACTCTTCTTAACTGTAATGTAGTTTTAATGGAATGAGGAAGATTTAAATTACTTGAAATCATTTTAGTTTCTTCTGCTTCTTATTCTATCTCTTGGTTGTTAAAAGTAAATGTTAGAATTGCGAAATCTTTTATCTTTGGTTGTAAGTTGGTAATGAAGTTAGGTTAATTTTCTGTATGTAGTTGGGTCCTTATTTTTACATGTGATGTATGAGATTTAGAATTCATGTGTACACTCTATTTTTGTTTTTAGCTAAAGCCAATTCTGATTTTAATGAAGCTTAAAAAGTGATATTCTATTACTTGTTAAGTCCACATTTGCTAGGAAATTGTTCTATTAATTTAAAGATCATTCTCGCTAAAGGTATGGAGGTATTACATAGTGTTATTCTTACTTGACCTTTCCATGATAGTCTTGGTAATATGGATTAAGTTTTCCAGTTAATCACGTTTCCATGTGCATTTGTTCCCTATATGGCAACTTTAATAAGTTTTTTTTTTGTCATTAAGGTAACAGAAAATCAAGTTAACTATGGTAAATCATTTTTTTCTTCTTCTTTACTCAATAGTGCCACTATACTCAAAGGTAAGTTTTATAAAGCGGTGGTTAGACCGAATATGATGTATGGGGCTGAGTGTTGGCCCGTTAAGAACTCACATATCGAGAAGATGAAAGTAGCAGAAATAAGGATGTTGTGGTGGATGTGCGGGCACACTAGGATAGATAAGATTAGGAATGATGATATTCGGGAGAAGGTGCATGTGGCTCCCATTGATGACAAGATGCGGGAAGCGAGACTTAGATGATTCGAACATGTTCAGAGGAGAAGCCCAGATGCGGAGGTACGGAGATGTGAGCAGCTGGTTGCGGAGAGCACAAGAAGAGGTAGAGGGCAGCCTAAGAAGTATTGGGGAGAGGTGATCAGGCAGGATATGGCGAGACTCCAGATTTCTGAGGACATGACACTTGATAGGAAGATGCGGAGGTCGAGTATTAGGGTTCTAGGTTAGGATGTAGTTGAGTCGTGCCTTACTTCGTACCATGGTGGGACTAGCCATGTAGGGTATTTGTCTAAGATAGCTAGTTGGAATATTGTGGCTTACTATTTCGTTTTTCAGTGCATGTCCTATTTACTAGCTATCGCTTTTGCTTTGCATATTTCTTCTAGATTTCATGGTGTTCATATTTTTCTTATGACTGTTGTGGTGATACTAATATTTACTAATATTGTCTCCCTTTGCTTTGCATCTTTCTTATGGATTTCATAGTGTTCCTATTTATCCTATGATTGTTGTTGTGATACTAATATTGTCTCCCTTTTTGTCTTTTTATTTTTTTTAGCCGATGGTCTTTCAGAAACAACCTCTCTACTCCTTCGAGGTAGGGGTAAGGTCTGCGTACATACTACCCTCCCTATATCCCATTAGTGGGATTGTATTGGGTTGTTGTTGTTGTTCAATAGTCATGGATTAATAACAACAAGATGTAAGCAGAACTTTCTTTTGTCGTGTAAGGTCCACTACACTTTTGGGCAAATTAAAAATAATTTTGGCAAGCCTAATGTCGACAAAGTAAATAGAATATGCTAATGCATTCTCTTAAAATAATTTCAATTAGTTCTTACATTTTAGTTTACTCAAATAATTTTAATAAAATCAGTTTTTATTATTTTTAAATAAATAACTTAACTATTATTATTTTAAAAATAATTTAGACGCTAGGCAAGTAGTAGACATACTTTAACCTTTTTTATTTATTTTATTCACGGACTCGCTTGCGTAGCGAGATGTTTAATGTTCAATATATTAATTCAATAATCTCGTTCCATATCCATTAGTTTTAATTAATTAATAATTTTAGTTAATCTGTTACTAATATCGCGGATTCACTTGCGTAGCATGATAGTTGACATTTCATAAATTTTAAAAAATTAAATTCCTCAAATGTAGTTTTTTCTTCCAAAGGTAATAACGTGCTAATAATTATTTTTTTATGACAGATTCGCTTGCGTAGCGCGTTATGGCTAAATTAATAAATTTCGTCTCGATCACGCATTCACTTGCGTAGTGTGGTTAAGACATCTTATCATCCAAATCATTCTTAATAATCAAGCAATAAAAGCGGATAAATAAAATATAAAAACCAATAAATCACAATTTATCCAAAAATAATATAAGCCAAATGTAGTCAATAAAGCGACCGTGCTAGAACTACGGGGTCGGGGAATGCCTTACACCTTTTCCCCGCTCAACAGAATCCTTACCCGGACTTTATTTTCGCAGACCAATAATAATAGAGTCAAACCTTCTTTTGAATAGAGATTCAAATAAAATGTGATTTGGAACACCCAAAAATCAATTCCAAGCGGCGACTCTGTAAATAAAATAATCTCTACTTAAGTTTGTCACTTTAATTGGAAAAACTGTTTAACCTACAATCCACTAACACACACATATTTTTGGGGTAGAAAAGGGGTGTGATACCATTGGTACGAGAGGAGGAAGAAGAGGTAGTTCTCATGGAGAGAAGTCTAGATATTCTGAACTTATAAAGCTTAAGCACGATGTTCCTCAAACCAAACAGAAAAAAAGTATGTTCTATTTACCCCCTAAGTTTTCTCTGATTATCAGAACCTTAACAAATCCAACTCCATACAAATTATGAGAAAGACAGTGCAAGCACATCAAGAATCATGAATTTTACAATAGAATTGCAGGGTGCTGGTAATCTCAACTTCAATAAGAAATTTTAGGCGATGATAGATTCGAAAATACCAACTGTGGTTGCACTGCTGGAGACCCGACTACAAGTGCACAATTTTCTGATGGTATACTTCAACTTTACTAAGCTTGATTCAACTTTACGAATAATGCTGAGGTACATTTGGATCAAATTGGAACAACCAGCCAAGAAGTCATGCTATGATCAAGGTAAATCCCGCTTCACCACCTTGGCAATTTTGTTGTAGCACAAACTTGAGTACAACAACTATGTCTCGGTCCCAAACAAATTAGCACAAACTTGAATAATAGAATAAAACTGTGGAATAACATAAAAAAACATTGCTGACTGCTATAGTGGTGCCTGGTTTATAGGAGGAGATTTTAATCAAATAACCCCCACAAGTGAAAATTTGGGGGGACTACCTATTAATAATATTAGAGCTAGCAAGTTTATAGGCTGCACAGACACTGTAAATTCATTGATCCTGCATTTAGAAGCTAAGATTATTCACCTACCGAGGAGCTATTCTGATCATAGTCCTACGAAATTGTGCCTTTTACTAAGAAGCGTCCTAGATCATACAATAACCCTAGCAAGCGCTACACCTAGGTGTTATCGGCACATTCACCTAACATGAATTTCATGTTCCTGGTGCTCTTTATTCTTACTTTGTTCAGAGGCACAACATACCCCTTCAAATACTACTCAAGAAGAGAAACAAAGATGACTACTATTAATTTGAATATAACGCGACCAAGCACTTCAACCAAATAACTGTTCTTGCAAAAGAAATTGTTGTTTCATCGTAAAGGAAAAAGGACCAACAAGATCTCCAAGCAGATATTGTTCAAAGATGAATGTAATATGTAATGTCTTGTTGTCTTTGAGACAAGAAACAGAATTTAACATCACTTGAGAAAAATGCATAAAGAACTCTTACTATTTATTAATTACATGATTTTCTTCATATGAGCCTTTGTTGTTGCTGCATCCCTGGCACCATCTTTAGAATATGGCCAAATTAAGCTTTCAACGTAAATGTTTGCCTCGTGGAAGGCATCACAGTTGATAACCTTTTGATATATAATCAAGTCATCCTTCGGATTGTAAATCGTGAAAAACGATCCACAGTCCAACAAAATTTCACCTTCATTTGACTTGCAAAAGAATGGAAAAAGCAGATTCGCTACATAATTATCAGGACGATTGATGTTAATTATCCTTGTCCAAGATTCTTTAACCCCATTATCTTTCATAACCAACACATACACGCGACCACTCCAATTATTACAAAACAGAGAAAGATCACTTCCCAACACTCCCAAGCACAACGTAAAACCAAAATCTTCTTCTCCATAGCAGAGTTTCTCCACCTTTTCCCATTTCTCATCAGCCAAATCAATAGAAACGATGCCCCAACTATTATAAGAACGCAAACTCTGTGAAGTACTATTATTAGTACAATAAAGCTTCCCATTCACAAACATACCCTTCGACCTAATAAATACCACCCCTTCCTGAAAATAATCTACACTTATCCAAGAATCATTATCTAGACTAAATTTTTTGGCCTTAACATGATGCAAACCGTCACGACCCAAATAACGGTCGATACCCACTATTTTATAATCGTCATGAAGTTCATCATATCCAAAACCATACATGAAAGAACAACAACCTCTAGGATCAGGTAATTTCTTGAATTTCCTAATTGACGGATTCCAGAGAAAGAAATCTGTTCCCTGAACGGAAAAACAAGTCAACCCATTGACAGAACCCACAATAAAAGGATATCTAGGAAATTTATGGGTATTTTTATAAGGATAATCTAAGTCATATGCTTCAGACCTTCAGTAGTATCAGAGTCATAAAGTAAAGAACTAACAGAACAGTTCTTAAGATCGTGCTCTGGTGGAGATAACCCCACCATAAGCCTATGGTGGGTGTAATCCTTGTTATTAGCACATATACTGAGATGGGTTTTGACAAACTCAGGGCTAGAGATTAAAGTGAGCCAATATTTTGAAACGCACCTGAATTGTAAGAGTGATTTTACTGGCAACCTCAATAGGATTTCCGTGATGAGTTCGGGTGGCATATTAATCGGGATTTTTAAGCTTGAATCTTGCATTGAAGTGGAAGAAAATTGAGTGAGTTTGCTCCGTTTTGATTCCATTTGGGCTCCGCAAATTTGACAAGACGACAATTAGGTTTGATATTTTTTATTTTCTTTTGTGTTAATGAAGATTTTCCAGTTTGTACAGTATACTTCTCCTTTTCTCCCTCCTACAACATATATTTAGTTCAAGAGACCCAAAAAAAAAAAAAAGGTATATCAAAATTTGAAAAAACTGATATGTAGTATTGGAAATTATGGTATTTGGTATGGTATTTGATTTAAGTTTTTTTTAAAATTAATATTATGTATAATCCCATTAGTGGGGTCTGGGGAGGGTAATGTTTGTTGGAAGTGGAGGGTGCTCACCACTAGAGCAACCCACTCTTGTTAGTACCTTACTTAAAAATATTACAGTGTATGGCTTTATGCACTACTTAATATTCAAGCCGAACAAATTGAAATTACCAAATCAATAAGTCGAAACCGAAAGGAGAAAAGTGAACCATACCTAATTTAAAAGTGAATTTAATTATGTATGATATTGGTATAGCATTTTAAGAAATCGAATACTGACATATTAAATTGAAATATCTAAATACCATACCATACCGACCACCGAATACCCGGGGCAAAGTACACAAATCCGATTTTAGGACGCCTAATTAACCATAGCTGAAGTTTCTAAATATTTGCAAGTTTAGCCACTTTAAATCGCTAATANATACATACATACATATGACTGTTGACTGATTTATATATTGGTTGTGAAAAATTGAGATAACTGATATTGCATTTTTCCCCTTGTTGAGCATGCATTGGTAGCTTAGACTCATGTAGTGGCTCTTATGTTATATCTGAATATTGACTAACTCGTATCATGATCATGGGAAGTACTGACATAACTAATATTGTATTATATCTTCTTACGTAAAAAGCATGTCTAAATTTCAGTTTTTATTGAGTTTATATTGGCAAACCCATTTGATGTTATCATGTTTTATTTCACGCTCTATTTTCACATGCTTATTGAGTTATGAGTAGGTGTTAGAGTCGACCCCTTACCGCCTCTATTTTAAAAGGCATTTTTGGGGTGAGCCCGGGGCGAGGCGTACCAAACACGCCCCGGGGCGACGGTGTGGGGCGAAAGTCTCAAGAGGCGTACGCCCCGCAATTTGGGGCGTACGCCCGGGCGTTCGGGGCGCGTTTTTTAGTAAGGAGTAAACCTTAGAGATTTTTTCAAATTAAAATAAAATTTGTTGAATTAGTCTTTCATATAATACCCAAATTCTCAAAAGTCAGTTTGGTAATTACTCAAAAGGTTTAAAAAGGAACTCAAAAGTATTAAATTTAAAAGTAAAGCTCCATGAGCTCTGTAGCGAGCTAGAGACTAGGCTCTGGGAATTTGAATATAACTTCTTGTAGAAATGTCCAAATGATGAACGGGTTGAAGCGTTAGAAATTAGACTCAAAGGGCTGCTTTAATTTGATAGGTAGATCACCTCCTAAATCATTATACTTTGGTAGCAGCATACTTTTGAAGTAGGATCTTATGCGAATTGAGACATCATTTCCACTTAATATATCCAACTTGTTCCACACGAATTCTTTCTATTCACAAAACTCCTTAGGGGTCGTTTGGTAGGGTGTATAATATAGTGCGGAATAAAATGTATTAGTAATGCATGAATTAGTAATGCATGGGTTAGTAATGCAAGCATTAATTATGCAGATATTATTTCTTATCTCCTGTTTGGTGTGGTATATTAAAATTCTAATGCATTGCATAATTTTTAAGAAAAATAGTTGTTTACAAAAATGCCCTCCATATTCTCTAGCTTTAAGGGACTTTAAGGATAATTTTGTCTCTAACCATGCTAATGCATGCATTAATAGCTTTGGTATTACTAATGCCATTATTTTCTATGCATTACTTATGCATAGGATCTATGCTAAGTATGATGTATAACTAATACAAGTATATTAGTTATACACAAGTTGAAAAAATATACCAAACAAGGTATTAGTAATGCATAAAGCTAATGCTTGCATTATTTTTGCTAATACCTCCTACCAAACGACCCCTTAGTATGTTTCAACACACATTAAACATATATTTTTTTATTTCAAAATAATTTGGCCCTATCCCATAGGTCTCCTTTAATATTCGAATACGTTATTCTCAAATACAGTTGGCGCACTTTAAAACCTTAAATCATTAGAAAAATTTAACAGGGCCTTACAGATCTGATACCAATTTGCCACGATCTAAAATTCCACCAAAGACTGTGATGATGCTTAACCCGCTTGCTAGGCAAGGTAACACACAACAATAACAACAACAACAATATAATCCAATTATTAAACCATTTAGATGTTTTATGATATAATTAACAGTGCGAAATAAATCTCAATTCCATAATATAAATACATAATCAACGATAAGGTCTAAACATGACTACAATCGTCTACAACGCCCAAATTTTGGTGTCACTTTATCACGAGCAACTAGAGTCAACTGAACAAATACATCTGTCCGGGAAAAGAAATACATAGACAGAAATAGATAAGTAAGGAAAGATAACTCCGTGTACTGCGAATCGGATCATGTCAAGCAACTCACTACGAAATCTCCAATAATACACCTACTCAGCTCAAGGGATACCGTGAATACCAGTCTCGGAAGTGTAGTATGAGTATAAAGTCACGATACTCAATAAGTATCAAGTCTAGCATCAAAGAAAGTAGCGGTGACTGTATTTTAAAAGGCGTGGGCATAAGGCGAGATGTTTTACATATGCCTCAGTGGGGCGTAAGCTCCATAGGTATTTAGTTTTTAATATTTTATAAAATAATATAATGACAGTAAATATTTATAAATA